AATACTAAACAAACATGTCTAAATTATATTATTATAAAATTATTTCATGCAATTTTTAATGGGAATGGTGGAACTGGGTTTTTTCCTGGAGAGTTTCTTCAAAGTTGGGATTCAAATCGGAAACACCAATTATGATCATCCGATAAATTTGCCCTATATTTAGATTTCAGATACTTCATCCTGGAAAAAGTTTGTTCGCACATATAGGTAGTGCCATACATAGAAATAAATTTACCAGCCAATTGCTTTAAATTTGGAAACTCTTTTGCGTCCAAAAATTTGTAAAAATCGATCAAGTTTCCTTCCTTGTATTTGTTCTTGATTTGATCGCTAGCTTGAAGATCAATTATTTCCATTTGAAACTGACTTGAAACGTCGCAGTCATATGGATTTTGAAACAGCCTTTTTTTCTATGAATTTATGTCAAGATCAGAAAAAACGCTTTTGAAATTCTAGTTTTAAATCTAGTTTTTACAGCAAATATGGTGGAAAATCTTTCGTCAGTTTCTGTACTAAATTTTTCACAGCACGTGAAATGGGAAAAATTACATTCATTCATATGACTTTCGAGCAATATCAGCAATAAATCACAAATTAAGTTGTTTTTATCTTGGAGATTTAAATTCAAGTTATTTACGTTTATCACGACATCTGCAAAAATTGCCAACTTCCAGAGCCACTATGCATCCGATAAAAGCGGTTCAGGGTGATTCTATTCCGCAAGAAAAATTTTAATTTCCTTTCTGAGCTTGAAGAACTGCAATAACACTTTTCCACAGCTAAGCCATCGAACTTTTTTGTATAATACGACAAGTCAACAGACTCAGATTCAATTTCTTCGAGGAAAGATCGAAATTGGCGATGATTGAGTGCACGTGATCGAATAAAGTTTATATTTTACGAAATTTTTCAAAATACTTGGCGGGCCGGATAAAATCGCCTGCCGGGTTTGGCCCGCGGGCCGTAGTTTGGACACCTCTGTTTTATTACATTCATTGAAAGCTAATTTGTAGAGAAAAGTTTAATTCTTCTGCAAATGTTGCTTGTATTTTGTTTAAATTAAATTTAAATTTATTGAAAAATTAGATGATTATTCTATTTCTATTAAAATGACAATTTAATATACAAGTTTATAATTAATTTCTTTATAGGATTTTCGTTGGGACATGGAATGTGAACGGTAAAGCACCTCCAACCGATGTAGAGAATCTGAAGAGGTGGCTGAACTGTTCCGACGAACCACCTGATATTTATGCGATCGGCTTTCAGGAATTGGATCTCAGCAAAGAGGCTTTCATATTCAACGAAACAGTACGTGAAGCGGAATGGCAGTAAGTACAAATTTAGAATTACACCTTTCTTAACATTTACTTGCGCTTTTTGTCAAAGCTGTTAAATTACAAAAAATACCATTAAATTACAGTAATTTGTTTTTAACATCTCTATTTGTTGTAAAAAAGGTTGATCATTCATGTTTTAAAGTATTGTTTTTGATTCAACTTTGACATGTTTAGATTCTAATTTTTACTAATACTTCTAATACTTCTAATTTTTACTAATACTTCTAATATTTAAAATGTGAATGATCGTGTTGAAACTTTTGCTAAAAACAGTTTTGAAACAATATTTACATTTTCAATAATATTTTATTGTCTCTATAAAACTAGCTTTATTTTAATTGATTGTCAGTATAAAATTAACGAGTTTTTTAGGTTTGATATTAGAATTAGGCATATATAAAATACTGATGTTATTAAGTTTAAGAAAATCATTGGAATAGTTTGTTTTTAACATCATTATTTGTTGTAAAAAATGGTTGCTCATCTTGGCTTTAGAGTATTGCTTCAATTTGATCTTTGATTTGTTTAATAATTAAATTTTGAATGCTGAAACTTTTACTACAACAGTCGTGCAAATCTATAATATACAAATAGTTACGTTAGTTAAAAATTTTGCTCTTTGAAGAAATATTCGAAAAAGCAATACATTTTAAATGATTCGTTGTCTAGTTTAATATTTTTTTTTTAATACACAATTTGCTAGTATAAAATACTTTGCTTTTTCACATGTAAAATTAAAAAAAGACCATTAAATTACAGTAATTTGTTTTTAACATCTCTATTTGTTGATCATCCATGTTTTAAAGTATTGTTTTTGATTCAACTTTGACATATTTAGATTCTAATTTTTACCATATACTAGGCTTATATTATTTACATTCTTTCTATATTTAAAATGTGAATGAACGTGTTGAAACTTTTGCTAAAAACAGTTTTGAATAATATTTACATTTTCAATAATAATTGTCTCTATAAAACTAGCTTTATTTTAAATGTATGTCAGTATAAAATTTGCGAGTTTTTCAGGTTTTATATTAGAATTATGCATATATAAAACATTGATGTTATTATTTTTTTTCATAATTTTAAGAAAAGCATTGAAATGGTTTGTTTATAACATCATTATTTGTTTAATTCGTTTAATAATTAAATTTTGAATGTTGAAACGTTTACTACAACAGTTGTGAAAATCTATAATGAACAAACAGTTACGTTAGTTAAAAATGTTGCTCTTTGAAGAAATATTCGAAAAAGCAATACATTTTCAATGATTCGTTGACTAGTTTAATTTTTTTTTTCAATACACAATTTGCTAGTATAAAATACTTTACTTTTTCACATATTAAATTACAAAAATGACCATTAAATTACAGTAATTTGTTTTGAACATCTCTATTTGTTGTAAAAAAGATTGATCATCTATGTTTTAAAGTATTGTTTTTGATTCAACTTTGACATATTTAGATTCTAATTTTTACCATATACTAGGCTTATATTATTTACATTCGTTCTATATTTAAAATGTGAATGAACGCGTTGAAAATTTGCTAAAAACAGTTTTGAAACAATATTTACATTTTCAATAATAATTCATTGTCTCTATAAAACTAGCTTTATTTTAATTGTATGTCAGTATAAAGTTTGCGAGTTTTTCAGGTTTGATATTATAATTATGCATATATAAAACATTGATGTTATTATTTTTTTTTCATAATTTTAAGAAAAGCATTGGAATGGTTTATTTTTAACATCATTATTTGTTGTAAAAAAAAGGTTGCTCATCTTGGCTTTAGAGTAATGTTTCAATTTGATCTTTGATTTGTTTAATAATTAAATTTTGAATGCTGAAACTTTTATTACAACAGTCGTGAAAATCTATAATGAACAAACAATTACCTTAGTTAAAAATTTTGCTCTTTGAAGAAATATTCGAAAAAGCAATACATTTTCAATGATTCGTTGACTAGTTTAATTTTTTTTTTCAATACACAATTTGCGAGTATAAAATACTCTGCTTTTTCACATGTAAAATTAAAAAAAAAGCCATTAAATTACAGTAATTTGTTTTTAACATCTCTATCTGTTGATTATCCATTTTTTAAAGTATTGTTTTTGATTCAATTTGACATGTTTAGATTCAAATTTTTACCATATACTAGGCTTATATTATTTACATTCGTTCTATATTTAAAATGTGAATGAACGCGTTGAAACTTTTGCTAAAAACAGTTTTGAAACAATATTTACATTTTCAATAATAATTAATTGTCTCTATAAAACTAGCTTTATTTTAATTGTATGTCAGTATACAATTTGCGAGTTTCTCAGGTTTTATATTAGACTTATGCATATATAAAATACTAATGTTATTATTTTTTTCATAATTTTAAGAAAAACTTTGGAATGGTTTATTTTTAACATCATTATTTGTTGTAAAAAAAGGTTGCTCATCTTGGCTTTAGAGTATTGTTTCAATTTGATCTTTGATTCGTTTAATAATTAAATTTTGAATGCTGAAACTTTTACTACAACAGTCGTGAAAATCTATAATGAACAGTTAAAAATTTTGCTCTTTGAAGAAATATTCGAAAAAGCAATACATTTTCAATAATTCGTTGTCTAGTTTAATATTTTTTTTTCAATACTCAATATGCGAGTATAAAATACTTTGCTTTTTCACATGTAAAATTAAAAAAAAGCCATTAAATTACAGTAATTTGTTTTTAACATCTCTATCTGTTGATAATCCATGTTTTAAAGTATTGTTTTTGATTCAACTTTGACATGTTTAGATTCAAATTTTTACCATATACTAGGCTTATATTATTTACATTCGTTATATATTTAAAATGTGAATGAACGCGTTGAAACTTTTGCTAAAAACAGTTTTGAAACAATATTTACATTTTCAATAATAATTCATTGTCTCTATAAAACTAGCTTTATTTTAATTGTATGTCAGTATAAAATTTGCGAATTTTTCAGGTTTTATATTAGAATTATGCATATATAAAACATTGATGTTATTATTTTTTTTTTCATAATTTTAAGAAAAGCATTGAAATGGTTTGTTTATAACAACATTATTTTTTTAATTCGTTTAATAATTAAATTTTGAATGTTGAAACTTTTACTACAACAGTCGTGAAAATCTATAATGAACAAACAGTTACGTTAGTTAAAAATTTTGCTCTTTAAAGAAATATTCGAAAAAGCAATACATTTCCAATGATTCGTTGTCTAGTTTAATATTTTTTTCGACAACCGAAATCCCGTCTGGCTCAACATCCCGACGTTCGAAATCCTTACTATATCGAAATCCCGACTATGTCAAAATCCCGACTACCATAATCCCAACAATCAAAATCCCGACAGTCTCTTTTATTATTATAAATTTCTACAATAACATTTTTATGGTAGTCGGGATTTCGATATAGTCGGGATTATGGTAGCCGGGATTTCGATATAGTCGGAATTTTGATTGTCGGGATTATGGTAGTCGGGATTTTGACAGAGTAGGGATTTCAAGCGTCGGGATTTTAATACAGACGGGATTTCGAACGTCGGGATTTCAATAGACGGTCTTTCGGTTGTCGGGCTTGCGATATAGACCCGAATTATGCATATATAAAATATTGATGTTATTATTTCTTTATAATTTTAAGAAAAGCATTGGAATGATGTTAAATTATTTGTTGTAAAAAAAAAAGGTTGCTCATCTTGATTTTGGAGTTTCAATTCAATTTTATTGTTTCAATTTGATCTTTGACATGTTTAGATTCTAATTTTTACCAATGCTTATATTATTTACATTGGTTTAATAATTAAATTTTGAATATTGAAACTTTTACTACAAAAGTCATGAAAATCTATAATGAACAAACAGTACAAAATACAGATGTTAATATTATGTTTTATAATTTTCAGAAAGGCTTTGGAATGGTCAACGCACCCGAAGGCAAAGTACAGACTTGTGGGTATCGTTCGACTGGTTGGAATTCAATTAGCCGTGATGATCAATTACACTCACTTCGAGCACGTGAGCAATGTCGCCGTGGATTACGTGGGTACCGGTATTTTAGGGAAGATGGTGAGTGAACGCAATTGATTTGAACCCAAATGCAATCATAGCAATTTCCAAAAATTACAGGGAAACAAGGGCGGAGTAGCGGTCAGCTTTCAATTACACAACACGACCCTATGCTTCGTCAACTGTCATTTGGCCGCTCACGTTGAAGAAGTTGAGAGACGTAACCAGGATTACAATGATATTAACACGAAGATCAACTTCAAAAGACATCCTCAAGCAATCAAAGATCATGAGTAAATTTCCAATCAAATTCATAAATTCTATATCTATAAATTGTATATATTTTCAGTCAAATTTATTGGTTGGGCGATATGAATTATCGGATCCGGCGTTTAGATACTCACGAAGTCAAAAAACACATCGCGATGGGCGATTTGAATACAATTTTGTGCCATGATCAGTTGAATCAAGAGAAGGAACGCGGAAAAATACTAGCGGTAATTTTGCACCAAATTCATTGCTTTCTTAATTACATTTTTCTTTTTTTTTGTATTAGGGATTCGAAGAAGGTGATATTAATTTCCAACCTACTTACAAATACGACGTGAATTCGGATAGGTATGATAGCAGTGAGAAGGCGAGGGCTCCCGCTTGGACGGACCGGATTTTCTTTAAAGGCAAAGGCATTTACCAGCAACTCTACAGATCGTTCATGGAATTGAAGATCAGTGATCACAAACCGGTGAACGCGCTCTTCCGTTCGGAAATCGGCATCGTCAATCGAGAAAAATATAGACGGATACACGAGGATCTGCTGAAGAGCATGGATAAACTAGAGAACGAGTTCTTGCCACAAGTAACAATAGACAGTACAGACGTCGTCTTCGACACTGTTAAGTTTAGGGAGCCTCAAGCTAAAGATATTATAGTAGCAAATACGGGAATGGTAAATAAATCAAATCACATTAATAATCCAAATAACATTACATTTTTAGGTACCAGTTGACTTTAAGTTCATACAAAAGAACGATGAGAAATCTTATTGCAAGGAGTGGCTCAGAATCACCCCGTTTTGTGGCAGGATCAATCCAGGTTTGAATTATATCTAATTTTTATTTATTTATTTAAATGGTTTTGTTTAGGTGAAAAATCGGATATACGTTTAGAAATTAATTTAGAGCAAGCCCTACAGTCGCTTGACGATATTCTTGTGTTACACTTGGAGGGTGGAAAAGACTTATTTATTACTGTTTCGGCCAAATGCCAAAGATCTTGCTTCACCATGTCCGTCTCTACTCTCTGCAGATGTCCGGTGCCTATACTTAATCTAACGCCGGAACAACTTAAACATGCCGTAAGTCTATTACATAATAAGTTATTTGTTTCTTATTAATTAATTTATTGTTTTAATAGGAGAATGGTCAATCTCAGGTTCTGTACTCGGTTCCCAGAGAGCTTTGGTTGCTCATCGATTTCCTTTACAGAAAGGCGCTTAAAACTAGAGACTTATTTGAATCTTCCGCTTTGCACGAAGAAATGAAGAAAATCAGGGAATGTTTAGACAGTGGAACTTTAGATCAAATCTGTATCCTTTTTTAATAGATTTACATTGATTTTAAATTGTAAAATTAACTGTATTCCTTAACCAATTTATTAGCTGATAGTCCATACGCTGTAGCTGAATCATTATTAATATTCTTGTCATTCACCAAGGACCCAGTGGTGCCCTACCATTTACATAAGAGATGTATCGAAGCTTGCGAAAGCTTCGCTCAGTGCAAAGAAGTGAGTTGATGATTATAAACATTTTTTTTCTAAATTCAGTTAATTTCAAATAAAATTTCAGATCCTTGAACAATTCCATAAATTGGAGCGTAACGTATTCTTGTACGTGTGTATGTTCTTGCAAGATCTTCTGAAGTATTCTGTGGATAACGGTTTGGATTGTCATGGATTATCTATAATCTTTGGGGATATTTTGATGAGGACACCGATGAGGAACACACCGAAACCTCATTGCCGGAAGAAGACGAGGTTCATCGAACAATTCCTAACCAACGACTTGTCCGATTTGATTCAAGTTAACAAGCAATAGTCACGATAATATTCTTACACATTCAATTGCAAGAAATGCCGAAGTCATTCACTTATGTACTATTTAAATACATATGTAACATTTGAAATAGCTTATTTTGTGATTTGAGCTTTTTTTTTCATTTGATAGTCGGCATCTTTATTTTTTTTTATGTATGTACATATATGTATTTCTATTCAAGTATTTATTATTCTTATTACTATTTTTTTTTTCATTGAAACTAAGTAATTGTTAGTAAATGAATCATGAAACAGTATTTATTAGCAATTGATTTAATATTTAAAATACTTTATATAACATTATAAATTAATAAATATCAAGCGTATAATACATTTTATTTGTTGATAATTAAATTGTTAATAATCAAGTGCACCATATTCAAGAAATTGCAAGAATTTGCACGAATTGAACAGGCAACCAAAAATACAAGTTCAGTTGATTTGGCGCTGCTCAAATCAGAGATTCTTAATTAGCGTTATAATTAATGATTTGTATTAGCTGAAAGATAAAGATTCATTAATGTTATGCAATTGTACGATCATTTCATTGATTGTTTAATTTTTTTTTTTTTTTTAAGTTTTTAAGAGATTTATATCAATTTTTATTGACATAAATCTCTCCGGCCCTATTTCTACCCCTTTTCGGGTTTAACAGCCACCACAAATTTTTGTTGATTTTCGGAATTGAACCAACGACTTTCGTATCAGATTTTTGTGATACAGGCAATTGTTTAATTAGTTATGATCGTTTAATTATTTATGATCAGCGTCATCTGACAATGTGTATCCGCACTATTTTCAAGTTGAAAAACTTTTTATAATGGAGTGTCTTCAAAAATCATACATTTTCTCAATAACTATACAGAGTACAATTATGAAAAAGTCAGTAAATTAAAGCTAAATGTTTGGGTTTTCCAACGGTCCATTTGTCATATTTGTAACTATTGCCGATTTCCTATAATTTAAAGTCAAACTTGCAAACGTAACATACACGAAAATTAAGTAACTTTTGTTGCGTTTCCTAATTGCGTAAGATAGGCGCCAACCTTTCGCAAATTTTTATGAAAGAAAAGTTATGTAATGTTTGTTAGGTAACTTGGAAACCAAGTTTTTCTTGATTTATTTTCATGAATTGCTCGACAACCCTTTAAGATAATTACATCATCAATCACTTAGTTCAAAGCTGAATACATCACATTTTCAACGAGCCTACATAACATACAAACAGAATAAGCGACCGTTGCGTGATATTTTCTAAATAGAACAAATTGTTAATAATTTTTAACGAAAGAAACTTGATCTTTTTAATTAGATATTATTGATTAGGTGTAATTGTAATTAGGTATATAAGAAGAAAAATATAAGCAACTAACCCTTAATATCTGAGATCCTTGAAAAATTATGAATGTTATTTAATGAAGAAAGCAGAGAGAACGTAAAAAAAAGCATGGAAATTATGAAATTAGTTGTTTAAAAATAAATATATTTGATTGTTATATTTGATTGTTTGTATTCATATTTGTACACTATATATTATTAATTACATAGCTTTTGATTATTGACCCAATGGGGATGGAGCTATGATGTTTGTGTGTTATTTTTGTAATTATTGATATAAAGGTACCATTCAAAAAGCATCATTATTCCTATTACATCAATTATAAAATTTGGGTAAATCGATTCCTCAGGTGCTTAATAAAATATTTTTCATTAGGTTCAATTGAATTAAAATACTTGATTTTGATGTACTTATAATAGATGAACTGACCAAACCGCAATACCGGCAGTTAGCTCATTGAAAAGGTTATAGTTTTCTCTTTAATTTGCGTATTTGATGGTTTAATTAACACTTGTAGTAATCGATTTTTTTAGTAAACGTGAAGGTATTGCGGAAAATTGAAAAAAATAGTTAAATAAATGGCTATTCATATAAAGAATAATTCTTTCGCCTTCGTTTATTATAAAATACGTTAGTTTTGGTCAATTAATAAGAAAGTTATTAAGCTTTAACGCGTTAGCGGTGTTTTCTACGCTATCAAATATCAAAGTTTGATAATTAATTGTGACAAATCTATGGTAGCTACAACCATGCATTATGCTCATTTAAATATATGTATATTCTAGTTCAATATTCATATTCAAAATACTTTTGGGAGCAACTTTTTATGAAAATTCAGTACATTTTCGAAGACGTTGTTTTTCAATCAGTCAATTATTAAAGTTTAATAATTAATTATAACGAAGCTATGATAGTTTCAAACCTATTTTAATCTGTGTATATTCAAGATCAACATCCATATTAAACATTCTTCTTGGAGCGCGTGTATACGAAAATACAGGCCATTTTGAAGACGTTATTTTACCAACTGTCTCAAGAAAGTTTGTCAATTAAATATAAAGACGCCATTGCAGCTACAAACGTATATGTATGCTCATTTTAATCTGTGTATATTTAAGATCAATATATATATCCAACATTTTCGTATAAGCTAATTTTTACGAAAATACAGGCCATTTTCGAAGACGTTATTTTTCCATCTGTCATTTGCGAAATAACAAAGTTTGTCAATTAATTATGAAGACGCCATTGCAGCTGCACACGTATATATACGCTCATTTTAATCTGTGTATATTCAAGATCAACATCTATCTATAACATTCTTCTGGGAGCTTATTTTAACGAAAATACAGACCATTTTCAAAGACGTAATTTTCCTAACTTATTTCAGAAATACAAAAGTTTGTTAATGAATTATGAAGATACCATTGCAGCTACCAACTAATATTTACGCTAATTTTAATCTGTGTATATTCAAGATTAACATACATCTATAACATTCTTCTGGGAGCTAATGTTTACGAAAATACAGGCCATTATCTAAGCCGTTGTTTTTATATTTGTTCATCAAATTGTATAAGTATGTTTAGTTGCCTGAACTTAAGGCGCAAAATGAATATTCCATTTTTCGTGACAGCTGGCTCCATCTGTTAGCAATATATCAAAGGTTGTAGTTCCGCTGTTTTGGCGCTGCTCAAATCAGAGATTCTTAATTAACGGCGTAATTAATGATTTGTATTAGCTGAAAGATAAATATTCTTTACTATTATGTAATACTCGGTTCATTTCATTGATTGATTAATAATTTATAGAGTTATGAGCGTTTAATTATTTATGATTAGCGCCACCTGATATTGGATAGCCGTACAATTATTAATTTCATTAAATTTTTATAATGGAGTGTCTTCAAAAATCATCAATTTTCTCAATAACTATACAGAGCACAATCATGATTGTGCTCGTAAATTAAAGCTATATCTTTGGGCTTTCCAACGTGCCATTTGTTACATTTGTAGCTATTACCAATTTCTTGTAATTTAAAGTCAAAGTTGTAAAAATGTTTTTTAAGCCTGGAAAAATGGAGTGTTTCCACAAATCATCATTACACTACACAATTATTAATGTAAAACGTTTTTCCTAAATAATTATGTAATTTTCATTACCTAACTGATACATTTGTGTATATAATAAAGTAAACTATACTTCAATTTTTCATGAATTTACGTATACACTACAAGTTTATATAATTGTCTTGGTTTGCATTTCATTAATCCAAACAGCGAATTGTTCAGAAATGATTGCCTTCATTGTGATTTTATTGATATTACTTTCTAGTCTGATAATTTTCTCAATATGCGAATTGAAACGATGCCAGTTTCCTCATGGTCGACAATAAAGAAGTTTATATCGGTAAAATCATGTAACTTGCGGTCCAGATAATAATCTGGGACAATATAAGGTGGATCCACCGTATAAAGAAAATAAAAAAAATATGAAAATATAGAGAGAAATATATCCTAAAAATAAACAACGGAAAACTAGAAAAAGATATAGCTCTCTTCTGTGTATTGTCCTCGAACCCCGAGCTTTTTCCTTCATCCTTTCAGGATGATTAACGAGACCGGAGCCATGACAAATAGTGGCTGAGTTATTAAACATCGCTCGGCGGAGGCGACGGCGCGGGGCGGTTTATATGTGACCTTACATAATGTACACTCAGTCGTACATCAAAATTCCAAGAGTCGGGACCACTTAAAATGCACGAATGGGGGGATGAAAAAAGCACTGCGTGGAAAACTGCCAACAACAATAATCGTGAGAACAAGAAGTGAGAATCGACGACAACGCTTTTAGATCAACGAAACTTTTTAATTTATATTTTAATGAACAAGTTGCAAGTTTCATCGATGATTTATTAACAAAGATTCATTCATGAAATTTGTTATTTTTATTCGATAAATGTAAGCAAAAATATGTACTTTTTACTGAGAATTTCCTTTAGATATTTATTTATGTAAATATTGTAATCAATCTTAAACGAAATCTGGAGCTTTCGTATCGGAAAATGGGCATGAAATCATGCGATATATCTAAAGATCTTTGACCGGTGATGAATTTCAAGGCACATTTGGCTCAGATTCCGAGGCTTTTCACTCCAATCTCTATCGGACGTCCATCGAGTTTTCGAGGCCCGTAAACCAGAAGATTAAATGCACCCCCGCACATAATTCATGCACAAATTGGATTCCGGAGGCGATTTTCTGCTGGCGGACAGAGGGCTGCAATTAAAGAAGTGCACCAGTTTCGTGCGTTCTTCGAAGGGTGGCCAGATGAGGGCCATTTCCTAATTTCAATTAGCCGGAGCTAAAGAAGTGCCCAATTTTCCGGACCCTCAGGCGTCCATAATTTGATTAAAGACACTCCGCCACTTGAATATACTCTTCCACTTCTCATACACATGAGTTATGGAATGGAATACGATTCTTGCGAGCCAATATTAATGATCAGTAATTATTCACTTAAATTAAAGTCGTAAAACTGAGAAGATAAACTTACAGGAAACTAACCAGAATGAAGTAATAAATATTGAGTAAATTAATGTATTATTTAACTTCAGCATAATCACGCAAATTACGCAAACTGTGTCATTTCAATCTAGTATCGATGTTTTGATTTTGAAAATTTGTGCAATTTTTTATATGTCTTCACAATTTCTTGAATTACTCACCATTCGCTGAAGACAATTATACGTTGATATATGCAAATTAAAGACAAGAATCTCACCTTTCCAATGAGACTGCTGTCGTCTTCGTGTTGTTATCCAATCTTAC